TATTTCATCCTCACTGGCTTTAGTGGTTGGTGCATAAATTTGAATAATAGTGGTATTAAACTGGTCTTCCCTGTAGGTGCATGGATATTATCCTATCACAGCATTGTACCTCATGACTGATCTGGATATGTTCTTTTTGACGATGAACGCAACAGTATTCCTTTACAATTTGTCATTCCCTTCATAGTAAACCATGTGGTTGTCAGATTCAAAATGGCCAATACCAGTCCATTTCAGCTAACTAATGCCTAAGATATCGATGTTGATGCGTTCCATTTCATTTTGACAACTTCCAATTTTCCCAGATTCATACTTCGTACATTCCATGTTCTGATTTTCAATGGATGTTTACAGCTGTTTCTCTTCATTTTGAATGAAGGATATAGTGGCATAGAGTCTGTTTCTTCTCTGATTTACCCGAGAACAAGAGCCCTTCCCTCCCTACTTGGAATTTTTTTGTTTCTGGGTGCCAAAAGATGGGATCAACTTTCTTGTTTTAGTTGTTTTTTAATTATGAAAAATTTCAGCCATATAGAAAAATGGAAATTATCATATACTTACCATTTAGATTCTTGAATTTGCATTTTCCCCCCAAATATTTTTAAGGTAAACTACAAATAAAATACCATGGCATTTTGCAACATTTCAGCCCCCAAATGATATTTTCTTACATAACGATTATTATTATCCCTAAGCACATTTGTAGCCATGCATCCAATACCTAGTCTGTCTTCAGATTTCCACTGTTGTCCCACAGAAGTCTTCATAGCTGTTTCAGTCAGTGATCGCAAGATACATTTGTTAGTGATGTCACATCTTGGATTTAACGTAATGGTGTTGGTATTGTCAGTGTTAAAGGGAAGGGTTGGGCCAGGTGGGCATGAAAGACTCAGCCATGAAGCCTGCAAAGCGTGCCCTCCGTGTTCTAGAATTAACCATTCAGTTACAATAAATACACGCAAGCAGTGTGTCCATGGGGGAAGTTGGAATGCATGTAGTGGGAAATAACACTTGCCTGGGCCCCTCCCTACCCAACATTCCTACGCCCAAGCATGCACACTCCTGGCTTCAGAAAGGACAGGCCAGTTAATTGGTACAATGGTCTGATCATTTCCTATTCATGTCATTTAGCTCTCCTTTTTTTTTTTTTTTAAACTTTTTATTGTGAATTGAGTGAAGGTTTATAGACAGGATCACCAGCATTACATTCAACAAATCACACACCTTGTCTCATCTTAATGATTACAATCCCTTCCCTGCAACACCAGTCAGTCCACTTCCTCCCTGTGGTTTCCCATTTACATCTTATATTTCACAAATGAATGCAGCAAAAATATTTGATGCAAGCATACAAAACAAAACATATGTATATATATTCATTTATATGTCCAAAGGGCACATTCTGCCAGCCATCCTCCTGCCCACAGGCACATGGCCTTTCTCAGTCCATGGGCCTAGAGCCCACAGCTGCTCTTTTTCTCCATACTGCCCACCTCTGCCACTGTCTGCACTGTCAGCACTTTTCTAGGTAGGATCTTATACTTCATTCATGCTCTTCCTTCTTGATGATCCTAGTATCATCTGTTCCTGAAATGCAAGATTAACCACCCCCTTCCCCCCGGGGCTTTTACTTAAACATCTTCTACATTTATAGTTGTGGCCATTGTAATTAATCCTGCTAACAATTACTCATAATTGAATCATAAAATCCTATCAGTTTTATCCCCCACCCCTTTCACCAGACCCATCTGGAAAAGAGGAAAACTGTTCAGTGGAGATTGTACCTTACCCCTTGTTTCTAACATTAAGCATACCCATTAAAATGTGTGAACCAACCACTTCATGCTTTTCTAGCCCCCTTCCCCCAATTTTGATAGACATTGCCTATGCCTGCCAACCCACTACACTGAGGAGGCAAGCATGTTCCTTGATCCTAGAGAATCTTCCATTATGGTTGGAATTTTGAGCAGCTGCATTCTTAAGCAAAAGTCCAGTTCATCAAAACATAGCAATTTACACAGTATCAAACATCTTTAATTTCTTCTGGCCAGGTTCTAGTCAAGTAGCCATCTAAGATAGGTCAAGTGAGTACTTGATGCAAGTTTAGGAGTTCACGCACACCTCCCTGCACTTCAGACCAGCCATCGCCCCCCAGGGGCTAGGTCAGTGCGTATGAGCTCAGGTAATTCACTTTCTTCTTTGCTGTTCCTATAAACCAAACGTTAGATCTGAGGGCTTAACTAGATGAAATGTTTTGACAAGGCTGCCTCCTAGATGATTTGTTTGATCAGATTTGAACTGGCTTTAGTTCCTAAAGGAGGCCCAGATTAGGAATCGTTCTACATCCAGATTTCCAGAAGTAGGAATGCCTGTCTTTTGCCTTTATCTTGCCCTACCACTCCGTCTAGCTCAGCCATAAATATTTTACAAGCCTGTTGTGTGTCAGCTGCATCAAATTGAGGGAATTCCTGCTTTGGGGAGTTTGCAGCCCAGTGGAGGAAGTGTAGCCAGAAAGTCCCCTGAAAATGAGGATGACTAGACTTCATCTTACGTACTTGGGCCATGTTATCAGGAGGAACCAGCTCCTGGAGAAGGAACTGCGCTTGGTAAAGTAGACGGTCAGTGGAAAAGAGGAAGACTCCTGATGAGATGGCTGACACAGTGGCTACAACAGCAGCTTACACGTAACAACTGTGAGGACTGGACAGTGGTCTGTTCTGCTGTCCATGGTCAGTATGAGTCATCATCGACTTGATGGCCCCTAACAACAACAAGACCAGTGGAGTAGATTTACTAATCAGTAGCTTCAAACCAAACTCACTGCCCCCAGGTTGATTCCAATTCAATGACGCTATAGGACTGTTCCACAGTGTTTCCAAGGCTTTTAGTCTTTGAAGGAACAGACAACCTCATCCTTCTGCTACAGAGCAGCTGGTGGATTCAAACAGTTCACCTTTGGGTTAGCAGCCCAGTGCTAAATGCACTGTGTCACCAGAGCTCTGTAATCAGTAGGTGAGGAGAGATCATGTTAATCTTTCACCTTAATAAATTCTCATTTGTTTCCTGTCTCACTCCAGCTGCTGCGCAGGTTCTGGGACTCCTGGCAGAGGCATGCTGAGCAGAGGGAAGAACGGGAGCACCTCTCTGTGCTGCAGGCAGCCTGGGATCACTACAGGTGGGACCTCTGACTCACTGTTCTCAGGAGCTATCACGTTCCCGTGGATGATTCAGAAAGGCCTTTCGGGGACTAGTCACAGCTATAAATCTTTGGTTAGATGGGAAGCAGGGTGAAGATACTTGCGCTGGTCCTTGCCCATCATTATTAAAAGGACCATTGCCCTGGCCTTTAAGCTTGAGTGCTGTTCAACCCATCTTGTGGTGGTACGGTCAGTGTTAAAGAGAAGGGCTGGGTGGGCATGAAAGGCTCAGCCACGCAGGCTGCAGAGTGTGTCCTTGTGTTCTAGAGTTAACCATTCAGTTAAAGTACATACAAGCAGTGCGTGCCCATGGGGAATTGGAATGCATGGGGAGGAAGGTATACAGGAAAAATAACACTTGCCTGGGTCCCACACCTGGATCTTTCTGGTAGCCCCTTTCTGCTACCAGAAACACCCTTCCTTGTCTTGCCTTCCCTTCCCAACACACGGAATCGTACTGTACATAGTATTCTGCGGCTTTCTTTTATTGCATGTCTTACTCATCTCCCCTTTGGTGGTTGCAGTCATTCTGAGTTTCCTGTGTTCCCTTCTCAGACTCGGCAGGAGCCTAGTCTTCATTCTCACCTGTCCTCATAGGATGATGATGTTCCTCTCATTTAGATGATTTCTAGTCTACTCAGACCCACCGATTTGAAATCGTTAAGCCATATGTTTGTAATATGAGTAGACGTGTGAATGTGAACTATACCCTATTATTTTAAAGACAGATTTTTAAAAACTAATAAACAGCAGGTATTTCTTTCCCTCTAACAGTATAATCAGCTAATTAGCAGAGTTAGAGATCCAGTTTTGGAACATTTTTTAATGAGTCAGTGTGAAACCCAATATTTAAATGATTCAATTCTGAGTTATCTCCATTTTGAATCTTGATTTACAAAATAGTGACTCTTGCTCTCGGTATCACTATACAAAAATGAGCATAATGTTGCAGACCTAGATTATCTAAACCAGCCCGGCATATTCTCTAAATTCCGGAGGCTGTCTCATTAGGATAACACGAGTGTTGCCTTTGTTCTCAACAAGCCACAGCCTGAGATCGGGCTCTCAGAGGCTGCATGTTAGGCATCAGGGACTAGCCTCCTCCCAGAATGAAACAGGGAAGGCCATGGGTGGTCTTCACTCTCAAAGTAACTCTGCTGTGTTCACCTGCCTTAAAAACAACAAAATTAAGGAACCCAAAACCTGAAGTTGTAGACATGCCTTGTTGATGTTCTGTGTCTTTTCAGAATAACAGTGCTACACAGGTGCCTCAAATTGTGGATGCGGCACACTCAGAAGAGGCGCTACAAGAAGGTACTACAGAATCCTTTGTTAACGGAAAGTCTGCCTAACTACCAGCTCCTTCACCTTTTAGGAAAATCAGGTGCTCGCTGATTTTCTTTGGATTTTACTCCAATTCAGGTATTATTAGACCAGCCAGCATGTCACCCAGTGGGACTGTGAGCCACAGAGCCATGGAGAAATATCCATGGCAGAAATGTACTGTATCCCAGTGCTAACCAGTTGGAGACGTGGCAGTGCCCATGGGGTTAGAATGGGGAATTCGTGAAGGAAGATTGGGAGAGACTTGTTCAATTCCAAGTCAGAAATACTTACTAGGCAGCTGCTCTGCATCTGACACCGTGCTGAGCTCTGAGGGTCCAAGTACACCAAAGTCCTGCTTTCATAGGCCTTATTCTGCACCAGACTGACACATGACTGGGGAAGCTGTCTAGAGTGCTGAGCTGAGGAGGTTTGATTTGGAGGCCCCGTGTGGGTGCCGTGAGGATGTGGGCTCCCGCTCTGTGGGCATCACTACAGGGAGCAATACTGCATGTTCACTTTTTGTCTGTCTTTGGCAAGGAAACAGAGGGAGACTCAAATCAAACTCCAAACGAGGTCATTTCCATGCTGCCCCTCCTTCCCCCCACACACACACACACACCTCCATCTGCTGCTAGAGTCTAACACAGGGAGCTAAAGATTTTGGTGCCCTCCCCCCAGTTTCTGGATAGAATCCAAGTTCTTTAGAGAGGACTGCAAATCCCTTCTTCCTGTAACTGCAATTCTCTCTGCCCTTTCAGCTCAGCTACTCTATCCCCCTGCCCACCCCCACCCCCCCATGTGTGTACCTTTTGTTCCATAGTCCTCTGCTCAACAGTCTTCTGCCAGGAGAGTGAGTTCTTTGAGAATTCAACCTGTATCTCTCATCACTTTAGCTCAGCAGAGTGCTTGGCATTGGTCGTAGATGTGGACTGGTACGTGAATGATAAATGAGTGAACAGGTGTCATTGTCTCAAGGATCATCCTAGTCCTTAGCATTTGGATGAACTAACTCTGGGCAAAAAGGAGCTCTGGTAGCGTAGTGGTTATGAATCAGGCTGCTAACTGTAAGGTCAGCAGTTTGAAACTACCATCTGTTCCATGGGAGAAAGATGAGGTTTTCTGCTCCCATAAAGATTTACAGCCTCGGAAACCCTGTGCAGTTTCACTGAGTCAGAACTGACTTCATGGTACTTAACAACAACCCCGGGCAAAAGGAGTCCTGGTAGGGTAATGGGTTACTCTCGTTGGGCTGCTAATGTTAAGGTCAGCAGTTTGAATCCACTAGTTGCCCCACAGGAGAAAGATGAGGCTTTCTGTTCCCATAAAGATTCACAGCCTTGGGAACACTCTATGGGGTTGCTATGCGTTGTGACTGACTGGGTGGCATACAACAACAACATCCCAGAGTAGAGTAACCCTGGTGTGGTGGTCCAGTAGTGAAGCCCTTGGCTGCAGTTGGAATCCACCAGCCGCTCCAGGGGAGAAAAATGTGGAAGTCTGCCTCTGTTCAGATGACAGCCTGGGAACCCCTGTGGGGATGGGGGGCTAGTGCTGCTCCATCCTCCAGGGACCCTAGGAGTCAGACTCCACTCAGCAACAATGGCCTGGGTTTGGCTCATTCCAGTTATCAAGGCAGCAGCCTCTCTGGCCTTTTTTGACATAGAGGTCACATCGTGTTACTTTGTTGGTCGAAGCAGCCACTTGCCCAGCCAGATTCAGGGGCAGGCAACAGAGCACTTCTCAGTGAGGGGAATCAAGGCAATTACAGGCGTATTTTAAAAACCACCACATGTACATCTATGCTTCTTCCCCCACCACTTTCATAGAAGTGTATGTATTCTTAGTTGTTTTTCTGCTGAGATAGTGAAATAGTAGTCTCTTATATAATTGCATTAAAAAATTTGAAGTCTGTATGACAAGCAAAACACTACCAAGTCAAAAGACATATATTTCAGGCTGAGGAAGTATTTGTAACACACATGACAGAGGACTCATACATTTCTCAGTGTTCTAAGTTCTATCACTGATTTTATTCTGGCAATATTTAATGGGAATGAACACCTAAGTTATAGGGGGGAAAATTCAGATCTGAGTGTGTAAGAGAGAGAAATAATATAATGATGCTAACCCCATTCATCACTTGAAAAAGCAAATGCTTTTACATATATTAAATTCCACTACCAGATTGTCAGAAGTTAAAATGAGCAATTTTCATCTTCATTTGGGTTTCATTGTTTCGAAGGCCACTCTCCCTCAGGAGCGTGACCCTGGAACGTCCTGTTTTGAAATTTAGAGTAAAAGTAAAGGTCATCTGTTGCTTTTCTGCAGCTGCTTCAGGCCAGAGCCCACAGCCACTTGCAACAGAGAGCCCTGCCTGCCGCATTCCAGGCCTGGAGGAGACACTGCCTTCAGTCCCGGCACGAACGGGCCCTGAGCACCAGAGCAGTGCGTTTTCACAGGTATGCTGTTTGGCGCCAGTCTACGCTTGCTGACCACACAGTCCACAGGCTTTCTTCCTGCCCTGGCTCGTCCTGGTTTTTTCAGTTTCGTGGGCTTATTGATTTTCCTGTACCAGAAAGAGGCAGCCAGGACATCCCCTGGGAAAACTTCTCTCCATCTTTGTTGTGTTTTTAAAACCGAACTTGGGTCTTCATGCTTTTCCCTCATCATTAGCCGCTTGTTAAGTGCCCTCGATTTGGTTCCAACTCATAGAGACCCAGTATAGGGTTTCCAAGGCCTCATCTTTCTCCTGCAAAGCAACTGGTGGGATCAAACTGCCAAACTTGTGGTTTGTAGTCCAGTGCTTACCCTATGAGCCCACCACGCTTCCCACTAACCCCTAGGAGGAGCCATGAAAGCCGCCCTGTAGCTTTCTGCATCTGAGTATCTGGACCCTGCAGTATCTAGCAGGCAAGGGGTTTCCTATAAATGCTTGCTTCCTGTTGTGCTCCACCTGGGGCTTCTTGAAGTTGCAGTCATTGATAAACTCCAAAGGGCCAGGAGCAGGTCTACATCTCTTTTCACACCCTCCGACAAACCTGTACTGAGCAGGTCCTTAACTGCATGCTGGTGGAGGTGGTGGAGAAATTATGGGTGGCGTTTTGTGTATCTACCCCTGAGGTGGGCCTGGTGCGATGGGCTAAAGGCCAGAAAGCCTTCTGACATCATGATCCTATAGCAGTGCTGAGAGAGATTAGCTTGTCTGACAAATGAGAAAGCAAGGTCCAAATGATAAGTGACTTAACGTGTCAACACACTCAGCCAGGGCAGCACCAGGCTTTATGTGCAGGTCTCTAATTCCAAATCCAGGTGCTTCCTACGAGATCCAAGGGGAAGGAGAGATCTTTCATGGCTTTTAGGAACTTTACATTCTTGTGCAGAGAAAAGACTGACACACAAGAATCAATTGAACATTTAAGGAGACTAGACCCAAGTTCTTCTAGGGCCCAGAACTTGTGCTGGGGGCAGGGGAGCGCTGGCGTATTGGGAGGCTTCCTGTGAGCTGTGGGTGAAGATGGATGGCAGGGTTGGGTAAGAGGGGAGAGGACTGATCTTACTCATTAGTGACTGCCAGGTGCTTGAGCAGGACCTAAAACTGGTAATATGACAGTGTTGAGATGCCCCTGAGTACTGTGCATCCACAGAGGACAGTGACGAGAGGGAAGGATGGGCATAGGAGACAGTGCAGTGATGTTGATTTGAGAGGACTCTGAATGTAGGATGAGGTGCTCAGCCAGAACTCTGGGTTTCCTTAGTGCAAAGTCCAAGGAATGTATTGCAGGTAAGATATTTGTAACACACATGACCAAGGATTAATACATTCATTTTTTAACTTTGAAGATTTTCTTTATTTTATTGAGGATACGTACAGTGAAACACACAGCAGTTCATCAGTTTCTCCGTGTTCAGTTTAGTGACACCGATTCCGTTCTTGCAGCTGTGCAACCATTCTCACCTTCCTTGTATTTTTAACTTTTTATTGTGAGTGGAGTGAAGGGTTACAGAACAGCTCATCAGTCCCACGTTCCACAGATTATGCACTCTGTATCATTACAACGATTGCAGTCCACTTCATGTGTTATCAGTTAACAGACTAATGCATTTCTTAATGTTCAAAAAGATCAAATCACTGATTTAATTCTCACATTATTCCTCTTTGAGGGGGTGGCCATAGGGAGTAGAGGTTGATGGGATAGCACTCGTCTCTGCCCCTGTCTGCAACACTATCTCCTTTTACCTAGTTTCTGTATTAAGGTCTGCTGAAAGAGCCACTCAAAAAATGGCCTCAGTACTTAAAGAGATACAAACACACACACAAACACACGTCCCTTTGTTTCCTTCATGTATAGGAAGCCAGACTTAGTTTACTCTTTTGTATTTTGTTAGGCTGTGGGAACCAAACATTGAGCAATAAATACCTTCAAAGCAGCAAGAGGCGTCTCTCAGGATTTCCTCAGGGGAGCAACCCTGGCTGCGGAGCGTGTGGAGTGGTCAGTCTGGAGACAGCCTGTTCAATTCGCAGGGAGGGTGATGGCGGCCTGATAGAGACTTGATCTGTTGTGGTTAGGCTGAATTGTTTTTATTTATAAATTGTGGTAAATATGTGTGAGGAGTCCCTAAGTAGCACAAATGGCTACATACATGACTTCTGGCATTGCAGTCTACCCAGTGGTGCCTCGGAAGACGGGCCTAGTGGTTTTAGGTTCAGTCAGCCTGGTTCATTAGCAGAAGAGTGATTGCAAGCTGGCTGAAACCTGGGCAAACCTGAGTTCAGACTTGTTTGCTATTGACCTCTGTAACCCCAGGCAAGGCAGTTGGTCTCTTTGATCCTTAGTTTCCCCAAGTATAAGATGTAGCTGATGTGGTAATAGCCCATCTCTTATAGGATTGTCACTTAGCTATAAAAACAAAATGAAATAATCCATTTGTGCCCAGCACAAAATATTAACTATCGCCATTCCTCACAAAATAGATTGAGTTGTGACTCTCTTAATAAATCAACATTTATAGGTTTAGCAAATTTTGATATGGGTTTTGCTTAGTTGTTTTTAAATCTTTGTAGATGAGAGTCCCTGATTCATGTTTCAGATAAATATGAGGGGATTTTAAAAAGTTTGTGGAATAATGGAATGAAAAGATAAAGGAATTGTTCCACAAACTTTAAAAAACTCTCATATGTATCGCCTCCTAGCTTTCCAAAACTCCTATGGTAATTTTGTTTTGTTTTAAATACAGACAGAATTTATGATGGAATTTTGTGAATCGTGATTTAAAATGAAAGTTTATTGACTTGCTATTGAAATAATCAGAAGTGGGCTGGCTCCCCACCAAGCGCTCTGTAGGAGAAAGATGAGGCTTTCTGTAACCTACAGAGATACGCAGTCTCAGAAATCCTATACAGGTTTGTTGTGAGTCGGGACCGACTTGATGGCACAACAAAAACAACAGCACTATAGGATAAGCACTGGCCTGCTAACTGCAAAGTCAGCAGTTCGACCCCACCAGCTGCTCCTTGGAAACCCTATACAGGTTTGCTATCAATCGAACTGAATCAACAGCACTTTACAACAACAGCAACCATATGTTTGTTTTGTAGCTCATCGCTTTATTAGCCAAATTAGACTATTTAGTAACCTACTATAAGGAGTCCTTAAGTCCTACTATGGTGGTGGTGGTGATGTATGCCACGGAGTGCCATGGAGTCGGTTCCAACTCAGAGTGACCCTGCATAGGGTTTCCGACTTAAGAATGAATACTGGACTGCTGACCACAAGGTTGGCAGTTCAACTCCAACATCCACTCTTTGGAAACCCCATACAGGGTTGTTATGAGTCGGAACCAACTCAATGGCACTTAGCAACAACAATTGAAATTGAGAATGAGTCAAAACTGGTTCGTCATTTTTTTCTCTCTAAAAATTGAGATACAGTGAATGGCACAGATGTTAAATAAATAATTTGGTAAATTTCTACCTATTATATATTTGGATAACAATACCCCAGTCAAGATAGGGAACCTTTGCATCACCCCAGAGAGGTCCCTGAAAACGTCTCCTCTGGATCTCAGCAACTGAACTGCAAGGTATATGTATGTGGGTCATATTCATGCTGACCCTGGCATCTCACATGGAGCAGGCCCTCCAGGCTGGTAGATGACGATGAAGTCATGAAGGACCGGGCTCTGTGCAGATACTTGGCTAATACAGAAACAACTTGGAAAGCATTAAGCTGTTTAGTTACTATTTTCTCTTCCCTGTTCCTCCTTGTTTCCTCCCTTTCCTCTTCATCAAGCTTATTTGCCTCTTAAATAACGCTGCTGTGTCTATCACAATTCGTAGTGTCCCTGTATAGGGTTTCTGAGAGTGGCTGGTAAGTTTGAACTGAGGACCTTGTGGTTAGCAGTCCAGTACATATATATCCTACAGCACCACACCAGGACTTGTCTTAAATAGTAGTGTGGGTTACGAGGAAAAATCCAAAACCTCACATTCTGGTTTTGTCTTGTTGTAAGCACATGCTTGAGAATCATTTGTGATTTTAGGGTGACAGTAGGGAGGCAAGTGTTGGCTGTTTGGCTGCAGCAGATGTGTCAGCGTCGAGAAAGCCGCTTGGCAGAGAGAGTGGTGAGTGGCTTTCTCTGAGGACGTGCCCAGAGAAGGGGACATTGAAGGAACAGGGTTGGGGCATGTGTTTGTCCATGTCTTTGACAGTCAGCTTTGGGCCAGGGCTCCCTGAGTATGCATATCTTTAACCTTGTCCCCCCCACCCCCCCTGGTCCGTAGGCCATCCTCCACGCTGAGCAGCAGCTTCTGCATAGGGCCTGGTCCACATGGAGCCAGCAGGCAGCAGCATGGCACCAGGAGCATCAGAGGCAAGCAGTGGCCTGTGCCCACCACCGCCACTGGCGGCTCAGAAGAACCTTCTGTGTCTGGAGAGAGCGTGCCCGAGGGCTGAGAACAGAGTGAGTGGACAGGCCAGCCTCAGCAGCCTTCCCACTCCCAGGCAACCTTTGATCCTTGTAGCAGTGTCTTCAGCCTCAGGTGCCTGCCCAGAGGGTGTTAGCCTATACTTCCCGGTGGTAAGTTAGAAATCCAACCTTAAAACTCCTGAAGCAAAACTAGAGCTTATGCAACCTTGGAGCTCCCAATTCAGGAATTGATGGGAGGACAAAGGTTCCTGTTCCCCAGCCAGCTAGTGGAAATTAGCACCAGGAGCACAGATTGATTGGCCCAGTGTGGGATAGCCGGCCACCCCAGGACCGTCACTACATCACGTGGTTGGTGTCAGGGGCAGAGGAGGCAACCCATGTGGCCATTGCAGGGATGGTCCTGCTTTGGCACTTTCTTTCTCAACCACGACCACTCTGTATTCTAAGGATCTCGCCACCTGTCAACCTTTGTCTACGTTTTGTCCTTTAAACCTCCTTCTCAGTCAGGGGTCTCCAACATGGCTCCGTAGGAACAAACTCCCATGGTACTTGCAGCCTCTTTAAGGAGTGTATGTGTGGGAATTCTGTGTGAACTTTCCCAGAACTTTGCCAGCTCTCACGGGGGGCTCCCAGAAGCTCACACACCACCCAACAGGCAGCAGACTAGAATAAACTCTTCCCACAGGAAGCTGGGAAAGGTGCAGGCTACAGAGTTCTACTCGGTACAGCTCCTGCGGTGGGCCTGGAGCGGGTGGAGAGAGGTAAGGCCTTGGTGTGGGCTGTGTGTCAGTGTGACGCACAACTGGCATATGGGCCACACAGCAGTCTCTAGGATACCACCTGCTCAGACAAGAAGCCAAGGAAGCGTTATCCCACTTCCATGGGGTGATTGGCTCAAAATCCCCTTTTCCTTAGAAGTAACAGATGATTCTTATCTGAGATTACTAAATCTAAAATTCTATATTAACTATTGACAGACATTTGTTCCAACTCATAGCAATCCTGTAGAACAGAGCAGAATGACCCCATAGTGTTCCAAGGCTATAAATCTTTACAGAAATAGACTGCCACATCTTTCTCCTATTGAGTGGCTGGTGGGTTTGAACCATCAACCTTTTGATTAGCAGCTTAACCACTGCACCACCATGGCTAGGATTATTTGAGGATGGTAAAGGTGTGGAAGGTGGTGTCTGCCCTCCTGGGACTTCACAGGAGGAAGGAGAATCAAACTTATCAACATGCTATCCTGTGAGGCAAAAGTTATACATCCAACCTCTAGCCTTCTTACCAGTTCTGACACTAGCTGTCCTTCCCGTGGCACTCTTGTCCTTTGTTTGATTCAACAATTCGTTGCAGTGGTTGCACAAAACTCACAAACAATGCTCATAATTATGAGGTATATTAGGGAAGTTAACAGTTTATAATTCAGCGTCAGAAATGTTCAGGATTCAGTTCTAGTTAGAACCACCTCTTCTTAGCTCTGCCTGCTAGTATGCCTCTCCCATCCTCTGCCTCTCTCAGCCATATAACTTTTGTCCTGCGGGGTGAATGTTTCAAAGCATCCTTAGCACTGCCAATAAATGTCCCAAACCACCCCATTTCACCACAGGCCTCTACCTAAAAGTGCTCAGCTCTAGCTTCGTGATTTGTAAAGTATAGCTCCTCATTCTGCAAGCCAGACTCTTGTCCGAAGCTACTTAGCTGTACTTGCTCTGTTGGCTGGGAAGCCCGTTCTTTGGCTCTGGCTCTGGCTCTCAGTTCTGTCACTTCTGCTACCACCGTTTTTCTGTGGTCACAGAACCTTGTCTTCTGGAATGAGGATGTTCAGCCCAGGGATCTCGGGGTCCAAAGGACACTTGACTCACATATTCTCACAAAAACCCACAGTTTGCTTAGCTGTAAATAGCCAGACCTGAGCTCATGCAGCTGTGACGAGGAGGCTAGGCTGGCCCCTAGCCCCTGCTCTCTCCTCTCTCTGCAGTGCCTGGCCCTGCTCAATGCCGAACGGCAGAAGTTGAGGCAAGCTGAACTGCATCACCAGTGCTCCTTGCTGCACAAGGTGCTGCGGAGATGGGGGGTAGGAGCTGCTTCTTTCCTCCTGGTAGCTTGCTAGCTGGGGAGGGCTCCTAGGGGCTTTGTTTGCTGCCCTGTTCTCCTGCCTCTCCAAAAACCACAGTGGCTTGACAAGCCTCAAAAAGCAAGTGCTCCCTACAGACAGGGCCTCCAGCCATGGAGCCAAGTTCTTTTCACATGGGTTGGCAAAGCGAAAACAATTGCTATGGTACCAGCTTTAAGGTGGCCTGTGTCCAGGAATGCCATGGCTTAACTTACTGGGGTGACAGTCTAGTGGAATAATCTTCTTCCTAACACCTGGGAGGGTCTCCTGCCTACCCTTTGCCCTCTTGTAAATGTGCTTCTTAGACATCTCTGGGAATAAGTTGAAGTGTGGGACCGGGGCAGCCTCCAGTCCTCCTTGTCTCTTACAGACTCACCAGGACAGCGTGCGGCATATCCTTCAAGAGGTGGCAGCCAGGGAGAGTCAGCACAACAGACGCCTGCTGCAGTGAGTCTCAGCGTCCCGTGGGGTCCAGGCTCAGGGATGACACACAGTTTTGAGGGGGGGGTGAGCCTCATTGCAGGAGACTCCAGAGCAAGGCCATTTGGGTCATACTGCCCAAGGCCAGATGGAGGTGGGCCTGCATGCCTTCTACCACTTGCATCATGATTTTGGCTGTTCCACACTTTTTCGGTTCATTAAGTCTTGAAGATTTGCTGTATGCAAAGAGAGACCACAGAAAGCACTTCTCATCTGAAATCACTGCCAGAGCTCACATTTGTTGCTCCTCTGAGCACTTCCTTCCTTGTTTGTACCTGCTCCCCAGCCACCATTTCATACCCTCTCAGCCGGCCTACCACTAACTCTCCAGAATCCTCTTGGTCCTCTAGGTCATCATTTGGGTCTCTCTGGCCCCTTGAGATCACTTCTCTGCCTCAGCTTCTGTCTCTTTGATGAGCCCCCACGCCTGTCTTCAAGCTCAACTGTACTAACTCCTTCCCAATAGACCACCCTCAGAACCCTCTTACACATACTCATCCTTCCTTTGTATTGATTCAGCCTACGCTAGTCCAGTCTGCCTGTGGGAGATAGGCCTTGTGGGCTTTCAACACTTCTGTCCTTTCTTTGGGGTCCTATCAAGTGCCCATCAGCCTTTCCCTGAATGAAGGAGCTTACCCAGTGAGCACACACAAATTAGGTGGCTTTCTCCAGCTTCTTATGGCTCTATGCTTCCCATGGCATTCTACCAGGCCCATGGTGTTTGGTCTTGCTTCTGCTGTCTCCTGTTTGACATGTAGCCAGTGCTCCATCATTGTCTACTGAATGTACACGTGGACATAGGCTGGGGTATCAGTGAATCGTGTTCTTCAGCATGACTCAAGAGCCAGATGAAGAATGATTCCTAGATATCTCCTGTTAACTCCCATACTGGCATCATCCGTACTTCTACCCTGGTCTGTTTACCTGCAGGAGCGTGTTACATCGCTGGCGAGAGAACACATTGGCCCATGTAGATGAAGCAAGAAAGGCCTCTGAAGCATGTGACCACTACAGAAGGATCATACGTTCAAAGGTGAGGTTATAAGAAGGCAAGCTTGTGTTCTGACATGGGCGGAGGTGTGTGACATCAGAGACTTGAACTAAACAAGGATGACTGTCCTCCAGCACACACATCCACATGCGCACTTATCTTTACTGAATTACAAACCACTCTCTGTTGGAGTCTGGGTATGGCAGTATGTGTAGCACTGTGGCACTGGACTGCTAATTGCAAGTTCAGTCAGCTGCTCCTTGGAAACCCTATAAAGGGTTACTGATGAGTCGGAGCTGACTCAACAGCACTTAACAACAGTATTTGTTAACAAGAGAACTATTACACCATGAGAGACAGCAGTTTCTACACATGCTAAATTGGAATCATCCTGGGTGTCAGGTGTGTGCTTGGACTAACTGAGCACCAGTTTCCTCATCTCCTGTGAGGATCACTCTCGCAAGCCTCATGTCTGTGGACACTGTTTGGAGAGCAGAGCATCCCATCCCCTGGTTGCAAGGTCATGTGTCATCTCTGATGGGAAGTAACCCCACACTGCCACTTTGTGGGGAAACTACTTGGTAGGGCCTTGTCCCCTGAGCAGGTGGCTTTTGGGATCTGTGTTCAAGAAAGGGAATTCAGAGGTCAGTGTCCAGAATGGTAGCAGGAACTCTTCGGACCTGCTGCCCAGTGAAACAGATGAAAAGTATTTTTCAGAAACATGTATTTAAAGTTTCTGGGAACAGTCTTGAGGACAAATAATAGATGAAAAATATACCTGTTAATGTCACGACAATCTATGAAAATATGATACTAAATGGGGGAAGCTTGTGATATTTAAACCCAGGCCACTTCTTCCCAGTTCAGTGGGGGACCTTGTGTTCTTGACTCCATTCTACATCCAGGAACTCAGGCTCCCTCCCCCCAGCTCACAGTCAGAGGGTTTTCCTTCTGGCAGGAATAAGACGTTAGTATTTCTCATCCTGCCCCTACCTACCTAAAAACCACACATTCTGAATAGAACTATATATAACAAGCAAAATGATTGGCTTAGAAAACTGACCCAGATAGCTTCACCCCTGAATTCTACCAAACATACTATGAGGGCAATAATATCTGTGCCCATTCCAAAGAGAGGTGACCCAACGGAATGTGGAAATCATTGGACAATCTCTTTGATATCTCAAGCGAGTAAAGTTTTGCTCAATGTAATACAGAAATGGCTACAATCATACACTGACAGAGAACTTCCAGAGGTTCGAGCTGGATTCAGAAGAGGCCGTGGAACGAGGGATATCACTGCTGACTCCATGGCACATAACCACCGCCACCACCACCATACGGCATCCAAATTGGCAAAGAGGAAAATGAAACTCTATTTGCAGACGATATGATCCTATATATAAAAAACCCCAAAGACTCAGTAAAAAAAAACTACTAGACATCATTGGAAGATTCAGCAAAGTGGCAGGGTATAAGATCAACATACAAAAATCAGTTGGATTCCTCTACAGTAACAATGACAACGCTGAAAAGGACATTAGGAAAGCAATACGATTTACAATAGCCACCCAAAGGATGAAACATCTGGGAATAAATGTAACCGGATAAACAAAGGGCCTATGCAAAACACTACTACAAGAAACCAAAAGAGACTTACAAAAGTGGAAGAACATATGTTCCTGGATAGGAAAACTTAACATCGTGAAAATGTCAATACTACCCAAAGCAATTTACACACATAATACAATCCCAATCGAGATTCCAGCGACATTCTTCAAAGATGGAAAAGACAATTACAAACTTTATATGGAAATGAAAGAGACCCAGGATAAGCAAAGCACGACTTACGAAGAAGAAGGTTGGAAGCCTCTCACTCCCCAAATTCAAAATCGTCTACATGGCTGTGGTGGTCAAAACAGCCTGGTACTGGTACAATGAAAGATACAATGATACATTTTGAAAATTACAGCAACAAAAGTAGACAAAATAGATTGGGACACACTAAAAATTAAAAACTCATATGGCATCAAAAGACTTTACCAAAAGAATAAAAAGGGAACCCACAAAATGGGAAAAAAATATTTTGCAATGACTTATCAGACAAGGGACTCATTTCTAAAATATATAGGAAACTACAACACCTCTATAAGAAAAAGACAAAAAACCCAATTTTAAAAATGAGCATAGGATATGTACTGACATTTCACCAAGGAAGAGATCCAGGCAGCCAACAAACATGAAGAAATGTTCACGATCACTAGCCATTAGAGAGATGCAAATCTAAACAATGAGATAACATCTCACACCAACAATAACAGCAAAGATAAAAAACGTTGAGGACAATAAATGCTGGTGAGGATGCGAAGAGACTGGGACCCTCCTACATTGCTGGTGGGACTGCAAAATGGTCCAACCACTCTGGAAAGCAATATGGCGCTTCCTCAGAAGTTTGAAAATAGAAATACCTTATGATCCAGCAATTCCTCTACTTGGTATTTACCCACAAGAAATACGAACCATAACACAAGTAGATAAATGCATATCAATGTTCACAGCAGCACTACTTAACAATAGCAGAAAGATGGAGACAGCCTAAGTGCCCATCAATTGAAGAATGCATGTACAATATAAACTGTGGTACATACACACAATGGAATACTACGCTACCTTGAACAACAAGGAAGCTGCAAGCCACCGCATAACATGGATGAACCTTGAGGACATTACGCTGAGTGAAATTAGTCACAAAAGGAGAAATTCTGCATTGGGACCATTATTGTAAAAGACTAAGAGAAAGAACCCACCCTAAAAGGGGGGAAAAAAATTATATATATATTTGCTGATCACCAGGATGTATGAGGAGAGGGAGGGAAGGGAAGATAGGCACAGGGTAGGGAATAGACACAGGATAGCTTGGGGGGATGGGGGGTGGGCAGTGGACAATACACAAGAAGGGTAGGGGAATGGAAGAACAAGACTGATGGGCAAACAGTTGTTTTGGGCTGAGCTGTGAGCCACAAATGCATCACTGTCTTCACTTCTTCATCAGAAGTGAATCTTTGTCCTCAAAAGGCTGCTTTCAAGGGACAAAACAGGTGAAAGTCCAGTAGAGCAAGATGCTTTAACACCTTAAAAACAAATTTTTGCAGAGTGTCAGCAATGTGGATAGAGGTGGGCAGGATATGCATTGTCATGCAAGACCATAAAGCCCAGGATAGTGGTTTAATCCAAAATTGAGGCTTCCACTCTTCAGGGTGCATCTCACTGTAACAAGCACTGAACGTTTTTCCTGATAGTGTTCCAGTACTGGCCCTCTTTGAGAATTCCAGAAAACTGTAAGCATCAGTTTTCCAGATAATGGTTGACTTTTGAACTTTCTTGGTTGGCAATTGAGGATGTTTCTATTCCATACTCTGCCATTTACGCTCAGGCTTATAGTGATGAATCTATGTCTTGTCACCAGTAACTATTTTTTAAAAAAACTTTTTCCTTCTTTCAAGTATCAGTCTAAATTTTGTTTGCAGATACCCAAATGTTTTTGTTCATGTTTTTTTTTTAATGTTTTATTGTGAATTATGTGATAGTTTATATGGAAGAACATTAGTTTTACACATTCATCCTATCGTAAATCGTTTCATTGCCATAGTTACAATCCCCTCCATGCATCATCACCCAACCAAAGGGTATACCCTGCAATCCTTCCCCGTGCCCCCCAGGTCTTCAGCACAGTCGCTCTCCCTCTCTGGATCTAAAGTCCCCAGCTGCTCCATCACTCCACATCATCGTCTCTGCCTCCATGTCAGGCATCACTGCTTCTCTGGGTAGGGTCCCGCTTTCGGCTCTTCTCCCTTGATGATCCTAGGGACCTCTGCTCCTAGAGTGGAAAGTTAATCACTCCCCTCCTTGCTATAAAACGTCTACCATTACATTTCCTAACCTCAGAATCAGTCCTGATAACAGTTATTCACTAAAGTATCACAAGAGACCCGTCTGCATTTCATTTCATCAGCCCCGCCTAGACAGATTAGATACTACTCACTGGAGATTTTACCTTCCTCCAGGCCCCTTGGCTCTAGGTTCCTTCTTGAAAGCTTGTAAGCCAGTCACTTCTTGCCTTTGTAGCCCCCCACCCCTATTTTGGGTAGCCAATGTCCAAGTTGCCTATCCCTGTCTACTCTGTGTGTGGAGGGGATGGGAATGATTCTTGCTGTGAAGATATGTTCCCTCTTTTGAGCTACTGCTTCCATAGGTGTAGGTCAAGTTCATCAAATTGTATCAGATTACTATTTTTCTCCTCTTCTTTCTTCCCAGTGACTCTTGTTAGAACTAAATATTCATGATCTTGAATTTGGCAAAGGATTTTTAGATATGATTCTAAAAGCACAAGCAACAAGAGAAAAAAACATATGAATTTGACTTTATCAAAATTAAAAACATTTGTGCTTCAAAGGACACCATCAAGAAAGTATAGATGGAAGAAAATATTTGTAAGCCATGTATCTGATAAAGTATTTGTGTCTGTAATATGTAAAGAACTCTTGCCAATCATCAAAAAAAAAACAAATGACTCATTTTAAAAATGAGCCAAGGACCTGAACACATATTTCTCTCAGGAATATTTACTAATGGGACACTAACATGTGGAGAGACGTTCAACATCCTTAGTCATTGGAAAGATGCAAATTAAAACTCTAGTGAAGACTGATAGTATACCAGCTAGACAATTAGGGTATCAAACACGCAGCCCAGATGTGGGAGCAGGGAGAACTTAACAAAATTGTTAAGTGCCCTTGAGTCAGTTCAACTCAGACACTGTATAGGGTTTCTGAGGAGTGACTGGTGGATTTGCACCACCAACCTCTCAGCTAGCAGTCCAGTGCTTATCCTACAGTACCACACCAGGACTCCAAAGGAAATAACCTCTAAAAAAGCACAATGAGATGTCATTTCACACCCAGTAGGAGGGCTACAGTCAAAAGCAAGTCTGGGCAAGAATAGAGATACTGGAACCCTCAGACGCTGTGGAAAGTGGTGTAGCTGATATTTACCCAAGAAATATGGAAACAGATGTTCAAACAAAAGTTTGTATACAAATATTTATAACAGCATTACAAATATTTATAACAGCATTATATGCAATAGCTAAAAAGTAGAAACAGACCACAAAGTCTAGAAGAGAAACCTGTAGACGGAGTGGTTTTGTTGAGGGCGGTGGTTAGTACTGGTGAGTTGCCCCTACTTGTGTAACAGAACAGAATGTCTGCTCCTGCGCTAGCTGGGTGATTGCTGGGTAGTTTGAGTCAGGTCTCAATGAGGCCCTCTACTTTTGTTGTTAAAGTGCTGCTGAGTTGCTTCCGACTCATAGCGACCCTGTGTAGGGTTTCCAAGGAGCAGCTGGTGAGCTTGAACTGCCAACTTTGTAGTCTAGCACATTTACACTGGATGCAGTGTCCTGATGATGTATCCAAAGTAAGCAAGCTCAAGTGTCATCATCCTCGCTCCTAAGGAACATTCTGGTAGTACTTCTTCTAAACCAGATGTGTTCATTCTTCTTGACAGTCCAAAAGGTAGCAAGTGCTGAGCATGTTCTAAAACTGACAGTAGTGATGGTCTCACAGCTGGGTAAAGGGATCAGAAACTATTGACTTGTGCACTTTAAATGGATTGTATGTAAACCTGTTAAAAGGAGAGAGGGAGGAAGGAAACAGCAGCCAGGCCTCCGAGTGTCAGGCAGCGCTTGGCAGCCTGCAGGTGGGGCTTGGGGATGCTTTAGAAAATGATTTTGCCAGACCTGTTCAAGACATCATCTGCTGGACGGATGGCCTAGACAACTCTGAGGTTTCTGTGCATGATGAACAGCTCTGCCTAAGGCCCAGTGCTCTCAGGTATACCCCAATGCCAGCATGTCCTGTTCCTGCCACCAGGAGAGACGGGGTCATCCCTGCTTGGCAGTAGGGTTCTCGCGGGTAGCTAATGAGAGTGGAGCAGACGTCTTCCTGTGGCTACTCCACTTTTGTAAGTGTCTTCTTGTTGCTACATACCTCTGACATACAAGAGTGCGTATAATGTAGGGGTTGAGTCTATAACAATAGAATGTAAGGACTGTATTTCTTTGTGACTCAGTATGATATTTCAGTGGGTCTGGGAGAATGTCCTCCTCACTCGACCCTGGGTGAGTTTTCTGAGAGCGCTGTGGTCAGTGTGGGCAGGATGGAGCAGTCAGTGCAAGCTGTACCCACCCGCAGTGACAGCTTCGCTTTGCCCATCTGCCCATAGGTCCTGGCCCAGTGGAGGGAGGCTGCTTCAATCCAGATCTACTACCGCCAGCAAGAAGATGCTGCCGTCAGCGATGCTCGAGCTGCGCTGAACAGAGGTAAGTAAGCAAGTCCTGTTGAGAGGATTTTGAAGGAACTTTCTTAGTGTTGCATTATCCCACCATAATCTTGCCTCCTACAATTTTTCATCCTGATTGCCAGCCAATTTTTGTTTAAATGGAAGGTCAAGTCTTGAAATCTACAGAGGTACCAAGAACTACTGTTGGAGTGATAGAGTTTGAGGGGGTGGGAAGGAACATGTCGTAGACCATGTCCATTAGGGTGGTTCACAGACCAGGTGACAGACACTGTGTTCTCTCAGTAGGAGTGTACTCAGTCACCCTTGAACTATTTCACGGTTTAGGTGACGGCCCTCAGAGCCTTGTGTAACCCTCAGGAGCCTTGCCGGGGTAGCAGAAGCTCAAGGTGAAGGCCTTCATGAGGCATTCTGGCTATGCTAGATCCCATCACCTTCATCTCTGATTTGGGGGTGAATATGGTACCTAAGCCAGCACCCCAAGAAAGCCAGCTGCGGGCTGCCCTCAGGCCTGTCATCACCCTCCCTTGTACCCTTTCCCTGGCGTCAGTTATCTGAGGTCCTGTTTCAGAAAGCAGGGCTGCCCCTGAGTGGAGCTGCATAGGGAGGCTCCCGGCCTCCCTGTGGTAACCTATGGGGAGAAGAGAGATAACGGAAGGTGGCTAAGTGCAGCCCCTTCAGAGCAGCCCTGTCATGCTGCTGGATGCCCCCGCCAGCCCCTAGCTCAGCCTCTGCCCCATGAACTCAGCATCATAGTTGTTTGTGGCAATCCCCTAAGGAGCACTCCGGCTTGGCTCTGCCCTAGGCTGCGTCCAGACTGTGTTTCGGCGCTGGCGAGTCCGCAGCCAGAGTGCAGCCCAGCAGAAAGTGCAGCTGGAGAGGGCGGCCCAGCATCACCGGTGCCGGCTGCTTCGAGAGACACTGGTGCAGTGGAAAGCTTACCATCTGGGGTGCGTCAGGAAAATGGTAAGGCAGGCTTCAGTGGCCCCCAACTTCCCCCCATGTGATAGGGGATCTCAGAGCAGCTGCTGGGGGGCTCGGTCCTTTGGGAACCAGGCTGCTGGTGTCGGTCCTCTTCAAAAGGAACTTCTGTCAGCTTCTGAGAAGACAAGCAACAGGAAACCGCTCTGCCAGAGGAATTAACTCATTCCCCAAAGGGAGAATCGGGTGACTAGTGAAGGGTGTTAGTGAAGGGTATAGCTGACAGGCTGCAGAACTGGGTCTCCCCAGGTGGACAGTGGCCCAGCACAGAAACCTGGTGTCAAGTGGGGCGAGCCTATGAGGTCGCCTGCTCCCTGCCTGGAACATCAAAGGCACCTGGGTGGTGAGGGTTGGCGCTCCATGTGGCTGTCGGGTGTGAGGTACCTGATTCTCACTAATACTCACTACTCCCGCCTCCCCATGGGCCTGCTGCCACAGCTCCTGCAGAGGCGAGGTGTTCAGCTTCTGACCCAGAGACTCGGCAGGAGCTGCTTTCACCAGTGGAGACAGCAGGTACATGCCACCATCCAGGTCTCCTTCCTACCTCCTCCTGTCCTGCCCCTGCCCCCCACCTCGTCTGCCTGCTGTTCACTGGGCCTTCCTACTCCCCTGTGGTCCCAGAGTGCTTCTGCTTGAGCCTTGGGCCAGTGTGGATCCCTGAGATGCCTCCTCTCTGCCTGCAGCTGGTGGCCAGGAGGGAGGAGCAGCGGAACACAGTGCGGGCCCTGTGGTTCTGGTCCTTGTCACTACAGGCAAAGGTAATAGGTTGCAGGGTCTTGGGGACCAAGGCTGCAGCCCTGCATGCGGAGGGGAAAGCACCTAGTCTGGAAAGGGGTGGTCTCACCGGTACTCTCCTTGGAGGCCTGGGATGCTTGGCGGGACTTCGTGCTGGAGAGGAGGCGAAAGAAGGCACGGCTGGAGCAGGCGGTGCAGGCCTACCATCAGCAGCTCCTCCGGGAGGGTGTCACACACCTCCTGCGCTTTGCAGCGGGTATGAAGGCCTCCCGCCAGCAACTGCAGGCCCAGCAGCAGGCCCAGGTAGGCAAGGGTCTCCCATCCTTGTAGGGAGGGACAGACAGTGAGTGTCTCCCTGACCTTGGCATGTTGGCAGGCGGCCCACACTCTCCACCGCGCCGTTGGCCGCTGCGCCATGCTCTGGAAGCAGAAGGTGCTGGGTCCACCCAAGGAGACCCTGTCTCCTGCGCCCCCCGCACTCAGCAGAAGAGTGACATTCCAGGTGCCCCCTCTCAGCTGCATGGCTGCTGGGGCTGGGGACATTGCCTTGAACACCAAGCTGCAGAGAGTCGGGCCTGAACAAGGTCTGGACCGCTTAGCCCTGGCTTCTGGGGACCCTCAGCTCCTGGAGCTGTGAGTAGCCTCTCTCCTCTTCCGTGGGCAGGGGGCTCTAGACAGCTTGGGCCCCCACCCTCCTCTATGCATCTCCTGTTCCCTGGGGGACAGAAGTAGGGGGATGGAGTAGGATTTGTAGACCTTCATGTTCTCCTGCCAAAGTACAGAAGCTCCTGTTGTTGGCACCCACCTGCCAGTCTTCCCCCTTCTTCCCCTGCAGCCTGGGACAAGAGACCTAGAACCTGCAATGGGCCTCCCAACTCTACAGCCATCCCACCCCGCCCCACCCTCGCTGGGATGAGTATGGGCTCCCAGAGGAACTGGTCTCACTCTTGCCCCTGCCCCACCCCCATCGACAGGAGCCCAGTCTTCCCACGTGGTTTCCTCCCCAGGATCCTGACCAGGGTGCTCAGAACCATTGATGAGCCACTGAGGGGAAACCCCCATGGCATCAGGTGGTGGTCCTCTCCTGTGGGACCCTGGAGCCTTGCCTTCTCTGTCCTCAGTCCCTCTGTGAGAATACCTGGAGTTGGACTAGACCCCAATCCCGCAGAGGTAAGCCCCTGCCACTCACCAGCCTCAAAGAACATACCGTTTGTCTTCCCAGGAGTGCTGCCCGCTTGGCGAGGAAGCAGCCTCGTCGCCCTGACTTCCTGCTGGAGCCTGAGCAGAGGCCTCTGGGGTGTGATCTCTTCGGGTCACAGGGGTAGGTCAAGTGGGGGCCTGCTTCTCAGGAGGAAGGGCTCTGGGTCCCCCGAGGAGCGTGGCCTGACTAGTCTCCTGCTTCCCTGCATGCAGGCCTGAGAAGGTGTCAGAGCGTGGTCTAGATGATTCCCCATCAAGGTCCCTCCTGGTGGGGGCTTGGACATCCCCAGCCTCACACGGCTTTAGGGTGCCCACCACAGCGAGTGCAGGCCTTGAGCCAATCCTGCTGCCACCCTCCTCCTTCATGCCACGTGGGCCGGAGACGGCCGGTAGGGTGAGTGATGGGGCCCTGGAGCCTGACCTTGAGCGTTCTGTGCACTCGGTGCTGTCCTGTGACCACCAAGCCCAGGACAGCTGGGAGGGACTTGTAGGAAGTGTAGAAAGGAAAGCCCTGCACACCCACGGGCAGACCAGGCAGGGTCTCTGGCTGAGCAGAGGGTGAGGACTGTAAGATTGGGGTCCGTGACAGCTTCCAACAAGCAGGGAGCTGAGTGTCTAGCATTCTGCCAGGTACTCGTGACCTGGACAACAGTGGTGGCTTCAGAGGGGCAGCTGGCTGGATTCACTTGAGTGTTGTCACTAGAGGAGGGAAGGGGAAGGCACTGGGGAGAAAGCCTAGCAAATCTGAAAGGAGGCAGGGTGTGGGGACCTCTGCGGGTTCCTCTGGCTGTGGGCAGAGACACAGACACAAAGGGTATGTTCTAGCAGCAAGTCCAGGATCACCAGAGGGACTTGGGGTTGGGTGATATGAACAGTCTTACTCATGGAAGGGCAGGCTCCAGTGGGGGCAAGCTGGGGGGCATTCTGGAATGCTGTTTGAAGCAGTGCTAAGCCAGCCCTCAGGGGAACTTGGGTGGGACTGTGGATGAGTGCGGTGCCCAGGCAATAATAACAGTCCCCTAAGGAGAAGCCCGCTCCCAAATCCCCAGCCCTTTCTTCCTCCACAGGTGTCCGGACCACTTCAGCCACAGGCACCCCCATCCCTGGCTGGTGTCCCCTACCCCCAGCTGCTGCTCCCTAAGGACTTCACAGGCACCAGGACCTGTCCTGGGTTTGGCCCAGAAGTAGCAGGTACACACCTGAGGCCTGGCCATGCAGGGCTAGTGGGAGACCTGCCCTGCCACCCCGCCCCCTTCCCTGTGTCCCTGAGGAAAGTGGGGAGGAGGGTCAGCATCAGGCTCACTCCTCAACCCCACAGGCAGCACTCAGCTAGAAGATGAGCTTGAGGGGATCCTCCAGCAATTACAGCACTGCCAGACCACCCAGCAGAACCTCTGGTAAGACCCAGGGGACGCCCTTACCCCTAGCCAGCTGCCAGAGTTGGAAGCTGGTTTTTCTCAGCTGTGGTAGGGAGCCCATGGCATGTTGTCCAGAGCCCCCTCCCTGCTGTGGGAACTTTAACCTCAGTCCTACTGGGACAGGAGACAGAGGGCCTGCTGGCTGCTCTTTGGGGAAGCAGTCTAGGGGGCAGTCAGCTCTGGAGATGTGACTAGCAAGATGCAATGGACAGGGAGGGAAAGAGGGAAGAGGAGGGTTCTCTTACTGGAAGAACAAGAACAAGTGCGGTCTCCATGCCAGGGGTTGGCATCTCAAGGCAACCCCACCCCAACCCTGTGCACCAGGGTTCAGTTGTCTCCCGAGGGTGCTTCTGGGAGCCTCTGCCAGGTCAGCCACAGACATCTATCTCTCTACTCCCCAGGTCCTGCCGGCGACAAGCGAGTAGCTTGCGGCGGTGGCTAGCACTGAGCCACGAGGAGCCTGGGGACCAGGAAGCTGAGCAGCAGATGCAGAAAGAGCTGGAGGAGGTGAGGCCTGGCTGCTGCTGCCACCCCCAGGGAGGACCGGGCAGTGCTCCCCACGCAGTCACCACAGTCACCACCACTCCCCACAGGTGGAAGCACAGATCCAGCACCTGGCCGCTGAGCTCCGGGCCCAACGCCAGCCCATCAGGGCCTGTATTGCCCGTGTCCAAGCCCTGCAGCAAGCCTTGTGCTAGTGTCCCCCACAGTGTGGGAGGCTCAGAACACAATGCCCACATGTTTTTTTGTGTTTTTTTTTTATTTCAAAATGTTTGCAATTAAATGAATTACTGTTGAGAAGTCCCCCACTTTTCATACAAAAATACTGAGCTACTGATACAGTTGAGGGAAGTTCAATGGCTTCTCCTGCAGGAGAAATGCACAGCGTCCCAGGATCAATGTGGCCCTGGCCCTGGCCCCGTGGCACCACCCCAAGGACTGTGTGCCTCTAAGCTAGGGACAGGTTTGGTTTTCTAGGCACAGACTCCCACACACACTAAGGCCCCCCTAGAAACCTATAGCAGCAGTTTTCCCCCATCTCAGCACCCTGACACTGACCTGCAAGGGCCACCCCACTGCAGAAGCAGTCCGGGACACCATCATCCTAAGAAGACATTAGCAAAAAGGAGTCATGGTGCTAAAATGGAACTTGGGAACAGACCGAAAACCGTTGTCATAAAGGCCATGTGGGTCCACAGTCAGTGCCAAGGGCACCTCACCCTGTGTAAGGGGGAGTGGGGGAGGGACAAACAGGAAATGGCCAGGTGCGGGAGGAGCAGAAGAATCATAACCATCAACCAACTATAACTGGACACTCAGCCAGGCACGGCAGCTCTGGTTTACGTAAAGATCAAAAGTATTTCCTTTCAGCTCACCCTGCCACATCTTTTTTCTTTTTGTGGGGAGGCAGGAACAGAGTATTGGCCAGAGCTCTGCTCTCCCTACTGTGACGGTGAGAACATTGGGCTTGTTCCCATCTCTGAGGCAGGTAGGAACAGTCATGCTGGTCCTCCCTGGCCAAACCCTGCCCGACCCTGAGATAGCCCCTTACCTGAACGCCTTGTGGGGTCCCCCGTATAAAATGCCCACTTTCCTCTCCCCTTAGAAACCAATGCTCAGCAGCTGCACACAGTAAGGCAGGGCTCTAGAGAGAGCCTAGAGCCTCCCCAAAGCGGATTTTCTGTCCTGCTTTCAGCTCAAAGTTGAAGTCCTTGGGGGCCTCGAAGATGAGCACGATGGTGGAGCCCAGGTTGAACTCGCCCAGGTGCTCGCCCTTGCGCATGGGGATGCCCTCCTTGTTGGCGTGAGTCACGAAGCTGAAGTCGTTGTATGAGCCCTTGCTATACCTGGGGCTGTTTGTGTGCAGGTCCTGAGGGCAGGACAGGGTGAGAAGCCAGGATCAGAGGGGTCTCAAGACACAATGTAAGGCTAGGGAGCCGTTCTCTGAAATGGTTAGCTGAGCCTATAGCTCACCTCTGCTGCTGCCCAGCCTAGCCCAGCTCAGAAAGGAAGGTAGGGACACACAGCTGGAGCAGCTCTGGTCTAACCTGCCATCAACAGTTCCAACACCTGCTGCAGGCATGTAGACACCTGATTTATCCCAGCATGATCGTGCTACAAGACCACCCATGGGAGCAAGGAAGGGCAGGCACCAGGTTCTCATTTGTTTGCTGGGGGAGGGGGAAGCTGGCCTGTCACAAGTTCTACCGTCCAATCAACATGGCCCTTCTGTCTCACTGCCTGTTCCCTCCTCACTCAGCTCTGACCAGGCAGGTCCGGGTATAAGTAGAGTACTGATGGGGAAGAGATCCGTTCCCTCCCTCCTGTCTCTAGCCCCCTCAAGACCTGGCCATGGCAGCACCCAGAGCCAGCACTGGCCTCAGCCCTCCTGGAACTCACGGTCACAGCAGATCCTGCTGCCCAGTAGACTGGTCAGGTGCATCCCAAGTGACCCCAGCCCTTGGATTCTGCTCACCCGGTCAAAGTAGATTCGGATGGAGCCCACGTTGGTGGCCCCCACAGCAGTCAGCGAGAAGAAGCCGTGTTTCCAGTCCCCAGTCAAAACCACCCGCTCGTTGTGACAGAAGAGCTCCTTGATCCAGCGGGCCATGCCAGGGTTCACCGACATCAGGGAGCCTGTAGGAAACCCAGTGTGTCCATTCAGCATAGCCAAAGGCAGACTGGCTCCTCACCTCCACCCATGCCCAGTAGACATTTTCTACCACCTCACCAGGACATCTGGGGGCCTTAGGAACAAGAAGTTCCAAATCTGGAGCCTGGGTCCCCTGTCTCAAGACACTGAGGGTCTCTGTGGGACACTCATGAGGCTGCCACTACACCCCTCCCTTCCTTCTCCATCCCAGCAGTCTCCGTGGGCCCTGGGCTACCTGGGAAGTGGCGCCGGTGGGACACAGTCCAGTCAGTGGGAGAGTGGAAACAGTGGTAGTCCCCAGGGGCCAGGTAGATGACACAGTGGTAGAGCTCATTCCCTTCCCTGGTGACCAGCTGGCTCTTGAAGGATTGGCAGGAGGTAGCTAGGGACAGACACAAGGGGCTTCGGTTGAAGTTGGCCCTGGTCCCAGCTCCTATTTCCCACGGCCTTCCCTTCTCTCTGCACAAACATCAGCAGGGCTGCCCCTGGCTCCAGATGGTAATGACCCACCTGGTGGGAAGGGCAGGTCCTCTGAGGAGCTGCGTGGGCCCAGGAATGACTCCAAGGAGTACGTGACCCCCTTCACCTGCTCTACCTCGCAGTTCTTCACCTGCCCAAAGTTGAGGATCTTCCCATCTGAAGGGCTGATCTGGAAGGATTAAGAAAGAGGCTTGTTGCCAGGGAAGTCCTCCCAGGTAGACAGGCCACCTTGTCATCTGCATGCACCCCAAGCCATTCCCCAAGGGAGGAAGGGGCCTCACCACGCTGTGCAGGCCACACACAGGCCGGGCCTGTGGCTTCAGCTTGCGCCGGAAGAATTCACTGAGGTTGCGATAGTGACGCAGGTCCTCCACGGCCGCCTCCTTCATGTTTACTCCAAACGTCCAGATGTACAGGCTGTAGACGGGCCTGCGCAGCCAGTGAGGCAGCTCCACCTGGTTGAGGCGGCCCCAGGCCCGTGACAGCAGGCGCGTCGGCACAGACTTGTACAGGGCCACCTGTAGGCACAGGGGAGGCAGAAGTTGGTGCATGGCTTGTAGGTCCAAGCCCTTCCCACCAGAGTACCCCACAGGAGTGAACACGACACCCTAAATTGGTTTTGTGATGTGGCTGTTTCTCACTGGAAACCAGATCGAGGGATCAAACCCTCACATACACGACAGGACTGCTGGGGCAGCGAAGCATTTATGAACAATTTGGGGATGACCTGAGATCTCGTTAGGTATTACATAAAGGTCAAACCAGCAGGCTCAACTCTGGTGTGGGAGAGCGGAAAGGATCCCATAGAAGCCACAGAGAAGCAGTAACAGGCTACCTTGTCACAAGCCACTCCCACATCCCAGACTATAGATAGGAACAGGAGGGCCCCCTTCCGGCTCATCTTCCTGAACAGGAAGCAGAACAGTCCCAACCAACAGATGCAGCTCGGCTGTCACTGACCTCTCTGGGCTCCTGGTGCAGGTACAGGTTTCCAACCCCCAGATCTAGCCTGCACTCCGAAAGCCTGACAGCCAGGCTTATGGGTCAGGCGCCATGTCCTGCGACCAACTTGTCTGTACTGGGGGCTCCACCCAGGACAGGGAGAGGAGTTGGCCACTGGGCTAGACACTCAGCAAGGGGCAGCCTCTTAGCCTCCAGTGCTGCCGCCATGAGGGTCACAGGAGTCTCCTTGGATTAACTGCTACTTATCTGAACACAACCAAGGGCCCAGCTCCCCAAGGTTTAAAAGTATTTCATTCCAACATTAAACACCTCTGTGAGGCAATGAGTTAGTGGCTCCCAGAGAATTACTCGTAACTCCCAGCTGCCACCAATCTCCCTAAGAGGACTGACTGTATGTGACTCTGCCATCCTTAGGCACAGGCTAGAACCTGGTCCATGACTCCTAACCCCAGTGGTCTGGAGCACTCACGCCCTGGTGACACCCACCCTGGCTATCCAAACTGTCTAAGAGTCTATGAGCAGGTTTTCCTTCTCTGGTGACAACCCAGGAAGCCAACAGCAATGAAAGCAGATGTCAGGGCATCCTCCCACTAAGGGGACGCAGCAGACTCAGCCCTCCTGAATTTTTTTTGAACTCTCTCCAAATCACCTCCCAAGACTACTTCCTGAACACAAAGAATTGGGGACAGATACCCCTTTTGAATCCCTACTGTGGGTTCTTCGTGAACCCAGAGCCCCAAAATGTTACCGTACCGCTGAGACAGGCAGGCCGTCAAGCCCTCATAGGCCCCATGAGCCCACCAACCACCCAGCTTTCTCTTCCAATGAGGCTCAGCCCCACAGCGAGTCACTCCTCTCATTCTGCCAACAGGGCAGCTCCTCCATGGCTCCTGAGCCAGTTGTGGCCCCGCACACACACTTACCCTGCTCACGGGCCTCCATCCCACCCGGCTGAGTGGTCTAAGGGCGCCAAAGGGCAGTAGGTAGTAGAGGACGGTGAGGGGCCAGGAGCGCAGTTTCAGGGTGGGTCTGGACATACAGCTCAGCTGTCCCAGCCTCCGCCTCAGGGCCAGCTGGGGGAACTGCAGCCTGCAGGACACAAGGGCAGGCCCCAGTCTGTCAGCCACCAGGGGCTGGGCTGCCTAGGAGGTATCCCCCCTCTCCCCTGTAGCTCCCCATCCACAGGGGTCCACAGACCCAGTGAGGGGTTAGGAAGCACTGGTATGTCACAGGATCCATTCCCCCAAGTCAGGTCTGGCTTGCCTCTGGCCTGGCATGCTCAAAGTCTGTCTCTGAGCACCACCAGTCTGCTGGGAGGTAGGGCAGTGGAGCTGGAGGGTGCCAGGCAGACAGCCATGAAGTGTCCTGGTACACCCCGGCTCCCAGCAGAGGTAGGGGAGGCCCAGCAGCAGCCCAAGCACCCACGGCCCAGTAGAGGAGAACTATGAGCCTTTTGCTCCCATCTCTTTGCAGGGCCTGGAAAGGTCTCCATGGCCCCTGGCCTTGTCCCTTATCTGCTAAGTCAAGGAGAGCTCTCCCAGAACACTCCCTGTCCTAGTGGTAGGGAGCCAGCTACAGAGCCATCCACCTGACCAGCCTCTCCACAGGACCCCGCCCCATCCCCACTGTCTTGACAGATGGGTGACCCTGCCCCACATCCCTGGCCTCCGGATTCCCATCACATGCCTATGCCCCCTCCAACTATGGAGACCACACTGCCATCAGTGACAGGCCCCAGGCCTCAGTTTCCTCATCTGCAACATGACTGCAGCAACTGGGGGCTCTACATCCCCATGTGTGACGCACTGTTCTCTAGAGGGGAAGTGTCGTCTCCTGGTTGTTGAACAAAGCAAGAAACAAAGAATCTCTCCGCTGATGAGAAAAGCAGAAAAAAAATGGAGGCCCCCTCCTCCCCCAATTAATTGATGGCCTCGGAGGACAGTGATTTATGGAAGGTGGCCAGCATGGCCACAGGTCACCCAGACTCCCCACATTCACTTCTTCTATTCCACCCACCCCCGTCTTGTTTTACAAGATGTGGGAAGGTGGTAGAGTCCAAGTAAAAACAGACAAATGGCTGGCGTCCCCGAGGCCCCCGTCCGTCCGACCGCCACCCTCCTTACTGCAGACGCGGTGAACTCCTGGGGGGCCGGACGGGTGCGGGGGACGTTGGGAGCCCGAAGGGCCGGGACGGCCCCCCGCACGCAAGTACCTGAAGCGGGCTCGCCGACTCAGACCAGCCGGTCCAGGCCCCTCCAACCGTGGGGGCTGGTCCCCGGGCGCGCGGCCGCTAGAGCCGCTGCGGGGCCGCCGGACGTGCACTCGGACCCTCCGGAGGTCGTGGCGGGGCACGGGGGGCTTACGGCGAGGCCGACAGCATCTCACCATTTCGCCGCGCGGAGCTCAGGTCCTCGGCGAGCCTGGGACTGACACATCACGGTGCGGGGCGGTGCCCGCGCGCGCCTTTGTCTCTCCTCCTCCTCCTCCTCCTCCGCCCCCGCTCCACTCAGCAGCTCAGGGCACAGGGTTGGGGACACCGCTATTGCAAACAGACAGCAGGGATCACCGCCCGCTCAGGGAACCCCCGCACCAGCCCCGCACGTTTCGTCCCCACCACCACTCTGGGGCTGGCCACCTGCCCAGCTACCACAAGCGGCAGGTGGGCGGCAGGAGGAACCTGACCCGCGCCAGGCTCCCTGGCCGTGTCGGTCTGTCTATACTGGAGGCTGGCCACCCTCGCAGGGACCTAACCCATTTTCTAATCAGGAGAAGAATGAGGTACGGAAAGCTAGGTGCTCTCCTCAGCGATCCCCACCCCACCTTGTTCCCATATACCTTCTTCGGGGAAGCCTCAGAAAAGCAGCGGGGCTGGGGGGACCGGGCTGGGCTTGCAGAGAGCCCTCTGGCCCCCTCGCTGCTGGCTGGCTATCTGTAAGGACACACCCAGCCCCCACCCCCCCCCATCCGCTGAGAGCAAACATTCCACAGCCACCTATCTAGGGGCCCCGCTAATCTGAGGCCCCCCACGAGGATGTGGGCTGATCGAGCGGCCCCACCAGCCTCCAATCCCAGAGCAGGCCGAAAGAGGGCAAGCCCCTGTCACCACCTTCAGAGGAAGAGACCTGGCTCCAAAGTCTACTGCCCCCTGCAGCAAGAAGACCCAGCCTGGGACCCCACTCCATGGGCAACTCACAGCCTGTAAAAACCAGCTCAACCTTTGAGGTTAAAAACTGCCCAGTTCTGGCACCTGTCTGATGTATGCAGAATCTGTGGACACGCATTCGCCTCTGGGCACCAGGACAAAAGGCCAACTAAGAGTGGACAGAAGCAAGGATTCCCAGCCCACTGTCAGTCCAGGCCCCTCCACCCATGCTCACCTTCCCAGGCAGGGAGGGACCACCCATGCCAGGCCTCACCCAGTACATGGATGTACCCGCAACCTCCTCCCTATGGAAAATGCTGACAACAGGAACAGCAAGTGCAGGAACTCCATCCCGGCCTAGGGCCAGGTCCAGGCCGAGCCTCCACCACCAACCTTCCCACCACAACAGCGCTGGAGCCTCAGACCAGCTCTCGCTATTAGCACCCCCAGGAGCTGGAATGTGTCCCTGTGGACACAGGCTCAGAGGGTCCCAGAAAGCAGCCAGGGCAAAATCTGGTGTGTGGACCCCTACTCTAGAGCACAGACTGAGCACACAGCCATTCAGAGCAGGAAGCGAGGTGACTGAGTGGGCTGGCGGGGTGTGGAATGATGACACTGTAGCCCCCCTCCATCAGACACGCAGACAACAGAGCCCACAGTCAAATCCATTCTGGTCCCAAACCTCAGGTTCTCAAAGCAGCCTGCTGTGTGACCCTCTGTACCCGTTCTCCCACAGCGAGGCTTGCAGCAGAGCCCAAACCACCAAGTCCACTCTCAGCAAGCACTGTTTTGCAGGCCACACCAGTCCTGTCCCCATCACTACTCTTCTTCTTTTCCCCAAATGGGACACTGAGACCAGAGGGTGGGGGTTCTTCCAAACCACTTTCCACAGGCAGCAAAAGGTTACCAGAACAGACATGAATGCTGTGTCTTAGCAGGAAATGACCCTCACACTGGGTCCAGCTCACTTCCTCAGCCAGCAGCCCACTTGCCCTCCCTCACCAGTGATAGTCTTTATTCAGCTGAGTAGGACTAGGGGACTCGGGCCCTGGATGACCCAGCTAGGTGTCCTGAATGGGGACAGACTTTGAGGGGTCAGGGCCATTTTGAGGAGGTGAGTTTAGGGCTGTGACCAGCTGGATATTCAGTCAGCCCCCTGGAACATGAAAAGAGAGGGGCTTCATGGCAGGAGTGTGGGGTGGGAGCTGGGAAAGGCCCTCTCTGCGTTTCCCTCTAAGAAGGGAAGGGTGATTACTCCTGCTTCCTCAGCACCCCACAGAACACAGGGGCCCAGAAACCTCAGCCCTCACCTCCTGCCCAAGCTGCAAGCCCACTGAGAAGATGAAGGGCCAGCCTCTCAGAGCAGTGCTTGGAGAGGAGTGCACACCATGAGCCTATGGCTGCCCTGTGAGGAGGGAGCACTAACCCAATGGGGGGGAAGGAGTGTACTAGTTTGGGGTCACCTTTGTCAGGACATATTGTTCTGGGGATTCACAGCTGAGCAGTGCTATAATGTCCCTGTCCACCCCTCACTGTCTGGCTGAAGTTAGTTAACATGTCCCCCCCACACACACACAAACACACTCTCTCTGGAATGGAATATTCCAAATGAAGCTAGGGCAGTTACAAGTGGGTGATGGGAAGGGGTGCTCCTGCGTGGGATTCCTTGGAGCTTGGTGGATTTAGGCTGGAGCCCCATGGAGGAACAAGGGGCAGGACACTGTCCATCCCGATGCCCCACTAAGCTCCCCTGAAGCCTCAGGGCTCTGAACACAACCAGAGACAATGCAGACCCACCGGGTTCCAGCTCCCAGGGGCCAGGATACCCCTCCAGAGGAGACCCAGCAGCACACACTCCCCCCACCACCACCCCCCAGGCAACTGTGTTCAGGTGGGACTTCCATCCCTAACCCCAGGGCCTTGAAGGGAACAAACTATTCAAAGTAGGAAATGGGAAATGGATCCTCCTGGTGAAACGGGTGAGCCATCTTTGGCAGGGGAAGAGGAAGCAAAGAGGCTCCGAGTTGCCTTTTATCAAGGCCCGGGATGGGTAGGAGGGAGGCAGAGGCAGGACTCGGCCTGGCACGGCTCTTCCCGCTCCAAGGTAAGGTGCTGGCCAGCCTACCTGCGGGTCCCACTGCGGCCTTCTCCCGGCCTCTACACCTACACCCGGCTCCTACACCAGTGAAGGATGTGAGGAAGTGAGCTCACCCACCCTGCGCCGCGTGACCAGTGTGGGGCTAAATAAATCCCCAACTTGGTTGGACCGGATCGTTGGACGGCTTCCTCAGGTCCCGGCCTCGATTCTATGCTGTGCAGAGCGCCCGGCGCCCCCAGGGGTGGCCCCCGCGGGTCAGAAACCAGTAGAGTGGCGCCTCCAAGTAAGCTTCCAGGCCACAGCCACTCCTCGGAGGCGGCAGGTGGTCCTGGCCCGGCGGTTTCCGGGCGCCCGGCTTCCTCTGACTCCAGCGGGAGGCGCCTCTCAGCGCCAAGTCTGGGGCCGGCGGGCGAGCGGGATTGGGTGCCGTCAGTCCCTCGTCACTTGGGCTGCCAGGTGGGCGGGGCGGCCTCTGTCAGGGACACAACGCTGGCCAGCCAAATTCCCCTTTAAGAGAAGGGCTGGGGCGGGAGCACAGTGGGCGACGCCCACTGGGCAGGGCCCCGGCTCCATGTGCTGCTGACCTCACCCTCACCGAATAGCCGCTCAGTCTCCTTCAAAGACTCTCTAAAGCCTACAGAAGCCATCTAAGTCTTGGCTCCTCCCCACATCCCCTCCTACTGACACCCGACTGCCCCCCCAACCTCCTCACTTCCAGGCACGCATCCAGACCCTAATGACTAAAAACCCATGACCAAAACATGGCACAGCAGACCAGTGAAAAAGAACAGCCGAGATTCTGGCCTGAAGCCCTGATGCCCCTGTTGTTCCTCCATCCAGTCCACAATG